TTTAGTGTTTGTTTATGTGCTCACTTTCAAGCAAATCCAAAGGAGTCACATCTCACGGTAGTCAAAAGAATCATGAAATATCTCAAGGGAACGACGAACGTTGGCTTATGGTATTCGAAAGGTAGTGTTTGTACTTTAATTGGTTATTCTGACGTAGATTATGCAGGCTGTAAAACTGATTGAAAAAGCACGAGTAGAACCTGTCACATCCTTGGAAATGCATTAGTTTCATGGTCATGTAAGAAACAAGCATGTGTTGCTCTTAGTACGGCTGAAGCAGAATACATAGCGGCGGGAAGCTGTTGTACACAAAATCTTTGGCTAAAGCAATAATTAAGCGACTACGGAATTGATCTTGGATGCATTCCTCTCCGATGCGACAACACAAGTGCGATTAATATCACCAAAAATCCGGTCATGCACTCAAGAACCAAGCACATCGACATTCGACATCATTTCCTCCGTGATCACGTGCTCAAAGGAGATGTTGAAGTCACTTTTGTAGATACACATAACCAACTTGCCGACATATTCACGAAACCACTCGCAAAAGAACCATTCTTCAAGATTCGGCGAGAACTCGGAATTCTCGATGAAGGTGACATCTAAACTCTTCATAAGTTGATATGTATAGAATCTATGTATACCAAGCTTTTTCACTTACTGATTTTGACATTTTTCTGCATTTTCGAAGGTGTTAACTGATTAACCGCCAGGGTTAACCGATTAACACTGTTCATTTTTATTTTCAGATTTAATTTTTTAATGCGTTAATCGATTAACCCTCATGGTTAACCGATTAACACTGTTCGTATTTTTAAAAACAGAAACGAAAAATTAGTCAAAATCTGTTTTAATGTGTCTTTTTGATGCATGTGCATTTTGATTATATCACCCATTTTCCTTGGAACCATCTTCTTCTTTTGGACTTCAAGTTAAGACTCCTTCCAACTTCTACCCGCTCACATCAACTCTCACTTAAATTTCCCACTAAATCATCTCTCCATATAAACCTCTTCTATTTTTACCATCTCCATCACAACATAAACCCTAAATCCAGAGAAACATATCCAACCTTCAGAATCTCATATCTCTGCATCTATGGCTCCAACCAAGAAAGGAAAGGGAAAATTACCAGAAAACAGCTCCACGGTTGATGAAGATTTCACTCCAATGGAATCAACCAAAAAGAGGTGAATGGATTTCAAAGTTAGGGTTCGTCAGCTGTTTCCGGTAAAGTATGTTAACCTTAAAGCTTTTCCAGCTTCCTCTTTCGATTTTCCAGCACTGTTAAAATATCAGAAGATAGATAATTTTGTGTCTGATAACGGACGTTGTTATCCGAATTTGGTGAAATCCTTCATGAACAAACTATTTATCCAATTGAATGAAGATGGACATCATATGCTTGTCACTACAGTTCGCGATTGTGAGTTAAACGAAGATTTGTCCAACATTGCTACAACTCTCAAGATTCCTTATAATGGTTATTTCCTCCGTAAAGGTGTCAACCACGTAGAAGGACCTTGGGATAATTATGATAAAATGGAGTATTACTATAGTATCTGCAGATTTCCCAAAGCGGCTGTAATTGTTGGACAACGCACTGCCCGCACCTTGTGCTATGTCAAAAATCTATCGGTAAATGACCGTATACTACATTACATCCTATGCTATGTTCTGCTCCCGAAAGATTCTAATCATGCCCAGATCAATGACCTTGAGATGAAAATGATGTTTGCTATCAAGAAAAAAAATCAGAGTTAATTGGATATTAACTATGATGTATCACCTACAACAGCAACTCACTCTGTCTACTCGACTTCCATATGGGCGACTCATCTCTAGAATCCTAGAATTAACAAATTTGGATTTAAACAGAGAACCTTCCATTACCTTGAAACCAACCGCAAACGAGATCAATGAAATAACTATCATCAAGAATACCGGCATCTTGAAAGACAATGATGGAACATACAAATATGCAGACCGTTCTTCTTCCTCCAACCATCCTTATCCCATTCCGGAAGGCGGAATCACAAATGAATTTCTCTACATTACCATGATGAACCAACATAGAGAAACCACTCGGGTGATCAACTCCCTCCGAAGACTTGTGATAAATTCTCAAACTCCCAATGCCGAAAACGACGAAGATGAGGACGGGAGTGAAGAAGAAGAAGATGCAAACGAGGATATGTCGGATGATGACATCTAAAAACATTTTTTTATGTTTTTTTTATTGTTTTCTAGAATTTTTTAAGGTTATATCTTATGTTCTGTATCCGTAACCGTACTATGTGCGTATGTCTCGTATCGTAAAAACAAAGTTCTGTTTTATGTGTTAAGTATATGTGATTGTGTTTATTCTATGTATGCTTGTTTACTTTCATTTTTCATTGCTCCTCTTCCTTTTTGATAATGATAAAGGGGGAGAAGGATTGGTCTCTAACATTTCGTGCAGAAAACGTTTTACCTCTCTTATTTAGGGGGAGCCCTAAACTTAGGGGGAGAAATATAGAGCAATCAAGTTACAAAGCAAACTTTCAAGAATCAGTTGTTATCATCAAAAAGGGGGAGATTGTAGAAGCAAGCTTTAAGGCCTTTAATGTTTTGATGAGGACAACAAGAACAAGCTTTCCACGCAAGATACACTACGCAAAAAGTAAGAGAATCAAGTAATCAAACAAGGACATCAAAGATCAAGATAGTACTCTCGCATATGTCTACTATGGATCAAAGCTTCTATTACAAGCTTCAAGTAATGATGATGTTCAAAGCAAATGTATAACAAATATTACTTGGAAATATCTATACAAGTGTTCATAAAATCACTTGTCACTTCACATATACCACAAACTCTTTTAAAAACTATTTTAAGTTTCTCACTCTTATTAAAATTAATTATTTTCTGAAAAACCTTCAGTGTTAATCGATTAACACATTGGTTAACCGATTAACACACTTCAAAATTAATTATTTTGTGATTTTGTTACAGTGTTAACCGATTAACCTATATGGTTAACCGATTAACATGTGTAAAATTTGAATGTTTTTAAACGTTGTAAGGTGTTAACCGATTAACTCATTTCGTTAACCGATTAACACTGAACCAGCAAGCAAAAATGGCAGCTTTTCATGAAAATATGCATTGGTTTCCATTTTATTTTCTGGCTGTTTTTGGTGCACAAAATCACACCCTTTTGAAAAGGTTTTTTGATAAGTATAAATTGCTATCAATTTTGAAATTCCAATTCACCTTCAAGAAACAAAATCATTCAAATTACTCATTTTTCTTCATCCTTCCAATTTTCATTTTAAGTGTTCAGAACCATTTTTGAAAGAAGCCCTTGAATAAACTTTCACACTATCACAACTTCCTTTCACAAGAACACTTGTATATTTGTTTTGAGTAATTTTTATTTCAAGAAGAAGATCGATCGTGAAGATTGATAACAACATTCTATCAAAGATTTCAAACTTATCTCAAAGATCATTTTTGTACTACCTTGTTATCCAAGATTGTTGGAAACAAGTGAAGTGTTTGAAAAGGATTGTTCTTCATTCACTTGGATTACCTATAGATTGGATAATAGGCATCACCATTGGTGTGATTAGGTTGTGCTAATTCTAAACTATAGTGAAATCCCTTTCGTGTTAAAAGGGGAATGGAGTACTCTCGGAGTGTGAGGGGAACCACTATAAATTTTCTGTGTCTCTTTTTCTTTTCTGCTTTTTCTTTCAAGTCATTAACATCATAACCGGAAAAAGAACCAAGAACCGTAAAAGATTGCAAATAAATTTTCAGAACCTAATTCAACCCCCCCCCCCCTCTTAGGCGCATTTACAAGTTACAATCATACCAATCTCTATGCCTTTAAATATGAACGCATGCGATAGAGTGGTACATAAACAATAACACAAACAAATAACTCAAAATAGAAACTCTAACACAAAGACCTTCAACTCTTGTGCACACCTTCAAACGTTAGATTTGAGTCACCTTAAATAACAGTGCAACTTCTGGACTTTTCTCTAATGGACATAAGATCTGATCACGTCCATATTTCTAGAGGATTCAGTTTTGATTTGTTTTTCAAAACCCTCCAACAAAAAGATTTGATTTGCTTTGATTCATATTTAAATCTCTAATTAATTAGATTTGATCTTATTCAATATGGCAAGCAAATCTAATTAACACATTGGTAAAAGATAATAACAAATCTAATTGCAAAACAACCCGAATTTTCACTCAGAACAACAACCATGGTCTATTGATAAAGGGTAGATGTTGCTCACATGCTGGAACATCGTGTCTCACATGTGTCATTTTCTTCACTAAAATATCTTGTACACTCTATGTTATTTTATATAATGCATCCAATCAAAAGGAACAACATAAAGATATCATTTAATAAGAGATATTAAGAATAAGAAAGCCGAATGAAATAAATATTTGTTTTTAGGAAATTTCAAAGACTTATAAAAAAATTAAATGACATTTTACACTCATTATATCTACAATTAGGTGTAAATTATTTTAAATTATGCATAAATATCTAACAATTAACGTATTATATGAATTATTAGGGATAAATTCCTTAAAATTCAATATAAATATATGATTTAACACCATATATATAAAACTGGGTATATAAAAGGTGTAAATACCTTGAATTTCAATATAAAAATATCTAACATTTTACACATGTTATAGTTAAAATTAAATGCAAGGAGATGTATATGAAAAAAACTCATAAAAAGGGACAAACATAATATGCAAATTATAACCACAAAGAATGAAGAAAGCTAATGAGCAAAAATGAAAAGAGCTTTATTCAAACTTAAAGAAACTCAATTAAAGATTTTATATACCTACATATTCAGTGTTCCCGCCAACCTCGTTTCAACCGAATGTTTCCCATCTGGTGCATTTCTAACCAACCCAAAATCAGCAACCTTAGCTCTCATGTCATCGTCCAATAATATGTTCGAGGGTTTTAAGTCCTACAACAATGAGCCCATTGACTTTTCCGACGGACTTCCACTCGGTGCACTGCCAAAACTTGCTGGTTGAGTAGTTCCACTTTCTCCATTACCTTCAGATCGGAAGGCAGTGTTCCGTTGAGTGACTTGGAAGCTAAGTTGATCGATGTAACGCGGTTAAAACCGTCACATTTCACGCCGTTCCAGCTGCAGAATGTGGTCGCCATCCACCCTGAGGGAGTTGGTGTAAGTGACTTCGCCAGCTTTGACATGAAAACGCCATCGTCGACAATGGCGGTGTATAGGAGGAGAGAGAAAGAAAGGAAGAGTTTAGAGAGAGAATTTAGCGTTTTAATATTTGATTTTGAGTGAACCATTATGAGCGGGAAAGAACATTAAATTAATGATGGCGAATAATGTCAATAGTTGTAATAAATAAAAAAGAGTAATGTTACTATAGCAATTTCTTGTTGAAATTTCACCAAGCGTGTTTTATAAGTTTTGTGGAAAATGTTGTGATGAAAACATGTAAGCAGGTAGAGTATTAACCAATTAGACTTGAGTCTTTTTGAATATGCAATGTGAATGTGATCGGAAATAAACCCGTGTCATACACCGACGTTTTTGTTTTTTTTGGTAAAAAGTCCAAAAGCAGACCTAGTCTCTATTATTACACTTAGAGCATCTCCAACCATGAACTCATTTTTGGGTTCTTTGTGGGACCAATTAAGTCACGTCAGCTTAAAGCAACTCAACTAAATTTTCACTTCAATGGTGCAACTATGAAGAACTCATGTTGGGTCCCACAACTTATAATTAAAATATAGTTTTTATATTATAAAATTAATATTTTAATATTGTAATTATAATTTTCATATGATAATTAAAATAATAAATAAAATTTTATATTAAATTATAGCTTTTAGATTATAAAATTAATATTTTAATATAAGAACCGTTGAAGAACCGTTGCTTAATTAAGAACCGTTCAACAACATGGCAATCTTGAAAACAACAAATATGGGTGCCATGTTGGCAAACCCACCTTAAGAACTCCCATTGGAGTTGGTCTTATGATATACGATTATCTTTGTGTTATTTGGGGGAGATTTTTTCGTGGAACAATATTGGTGAGATTTTTTTTGGGTAAAGTAACACTTTTATGAGAGACACACTATATATTTATTCAAAATTTTAAGACGATAGATAAATAAATTTTCTCACTTATAAATACTCAAGTTATCACATTTTTATTTAACAAAGATTATTATCCATATTATTCAGACTTATTATACTTAACACTATTACCTACCAAAATTTACTTGACATCTTTAGTATTTTAATAATATTCATGTTGATCTTATGAAAATTAAAGCTTTTATATATATATATATATATATATATATATATATATATATATATATATATATATATATATATATATATATATATATATATATATATATATATATATATATATATATATATATATATATATATATATATATATATATATATATATATATATATATATATATATATATATATATATATATATATATATATATATATATATACACACACACGATAGAATAAATTAAAAAGTTTGGAGCTAGCAAAAATTTGAATAGTATATATGAAAAATTCAATAATCGGATTTTTCAAAATATTTAAAATTTTGATAGTATCGATTTTTTATAAACATATGGAAGTTACTAGATATTTCGTCCCGGAGTGAAAAACTCAGTAATTATAAAAAGAGTGAAAATTGAATGGTTGAAATTTTGCAGACACTTTTGTACAGTTGTTATTGCACCGACTATTTTGTGTGATTCAGAATGAATCTTAAGTTGTATAAATAAGGGTCATCCGTTGTTGAGAAATACATCTAAAAGTTTTTTTCCTCAATTTTTGATTAAGTCAGAAGTGCACTTCAATGGGGCGAAACCTCTCGTAGAGTTTCGGTTCCGAAGGACACCTCCTGTCTCGCTATATTGAGATCCACATTGAATGATTTGTTACCCAACATCGTTAACAGAAAGGTAAAAAATATCAAGTTTTATGAAGATTGGATTGATACTAACGGAATGGTGAAATACAACCTTATTAAGTTGAAGACTGGTGAAAATTTGAAAGTTATGTGGAAATCATATCATTGTAGGATAACTAAGGGGCGAGTTTGATACAATAAGAAATAATGTCATAAATAGAACTAACATAATAAGAATTAATAATTTAGTTATACCTGAAATAGACTCATATAACCAACAAGCTTCCTGGTCTAAAATATATTCGCTTCTCTAAAGGCAGCATATAGAATCGTCAATGCAACACACCCCATGCCCAATTGTAATGCTCAAGGTTGTTAAACAGCCACATGTACTTAACATTAATATATACATGAGACTTACTATCTGCTAAGATAGTATATCCTACCAGATGTAACATGTATACCCTAACGACTACCTCATACATACTCGACGCACTAACTCTTTATACCTATCTCAGAGATAACATATGCGAAAGTGAGCATCCCTTATATACTTAAACTCATCTAAAACCTGTTGCTCGGTAACTTACAAATAATGTATATCTGTCATAAGGGATTCAGTTATGCGAGGGAAAGGTATTAGCATCCCTCACATTCGTCGAATTCGACGGAAACCATTTTACTTGTTCTTTAAGAATGGGTGTTACTATTATTGTACCCTAAATTTTCTCTCTTGTTTCTTTTATCTTAATTGGCTTACGTTAGCATCCATACACATTTCACACGCATTAATTATGCATTGTATTGGACATTTAAGACATGGAATCACAATGTACTTCTCGTAGTTCAGAGCTTTTTTTCATTTTAGAGCTTTCCAACACTCCATGCTGAGTTTTTTGCGGTCCTAAGATCAATTGCTAGAGATGGAGCATGGTCCTAAGAGCTATTCAAATTGCTAGAGATAGAACATTGTCAATGCTTTGGATTTAAATGAATTATATTTTGGTGTTCAAAACTTTTTCAAAGGATTCTATTAGTTTAGGCCACACTTCTATGTCTTTAACTTTTTTCAATTTTGTTCTTTTGTAAATTAAAAATGACTTTATAAGAAATAGCTTTGTCTTTTTTAGATTCATATCTTTTTGAGAGTATAGTCCTTTATTAAAAAAAAGAAAAAAAAACTCATTGTTTCATTAATTTAACCGGTGAACCAGATTGATCACACTTATTTGTGTTAAACAAATTGTAACTAGTGTCATATAATTTTACCGGACACTCCTACCCTTCAGTTCCTAGTCCACCGATAGTCTACACTAAGTTTTAAATACCATTTAATTGTCTAGATATATTTCACATTACTTTTCTTTCATCCTTTTGTGATTTATATTTCTCTCTTTTATTTTTTTACATCTTGTGTTAGAATAATATTTTAAATATAATTTTGGTTTTCATAAAAAGTACTAAAATAAAACTTCATTTTAAAAAAAATCACTTTTAAGTTGGTAAACGTTTCTCAAAAAAGTGCTAAAATAAGTAGGAGGATATTGACCGTTTCTTTTAAGTTAATCTACAATGTTTCTAGTGAAATTCTAATTTTATATTTAACTAAACTCTTTGATAACTTTATCGGTACTTATAAATTAAACTGATTTAAAGTTTAAATTAATTATGAATTTAACTAAAATATAATATAAAACAATTTTATACTGTTAATGAATCATAGAGACGTTAATTGTTAAAAATAATTTGACTTTTATTTTATTTATATATAAAAAAATAATACAAACGGATAATAATAAATTGATAGTACACTAACCGTACATAATAATTAGTCTCAATTAATTTAAAATAAATTAATATAAAAAATTATATGATTGGGACTATTGAATGATAAATATATAGCCAACCAATCTCTAGATACAAAGTGTTCACATTTATTTTATTATATTCATACACCAGAAATAATGTTACAACAAATGTTACAACAAGACAGAAATGTATCAAACAAGACGACAGAATCCATGGTAGCAAAGAGACATCTAAGATGGAGCACCAAGATATGAGGCAAGACGCAAAATATCACTGAATATTCCACCAGCTGTGACTTGTGCGCCAGCTCCTGGTCCACGAACTATCAGAGGTTGATCTCTGTATCTTCTTGTTGTGAATGCAATAATGTTATCCGAGCCGGATAATTGCGCAAATGGATGATCCTTCTTGTATCGTCGAAGCTCCACCGAACCCTTTTGATTAGCCACGTCTACCACTCCCACATATCTCAACACCTTCAAACATCACATAAAAGCATTTAAGAATTTAGATATGAAGATTATGCTATGAAGAAAATGTCATGGTGGAAAAACTAGTTGATAATGTAAACTTCAAACAGAAGCTTATCAAATATCAGGTTATGTCTAGTTATTACTTACTTCCCCTGCAGTGTTAGCATCTTCTTGTTTCTTTGATATCTCCTTATCAAATTTTGGTAAGTTTTGCATAAACTCTTGAGTTGATGCGCTAGCCTGCGAAATCATCAAGGTGTCCATTTTGAGTATAAGAGTATATATTATTATTCAGTACTGCATAATTGAAGAAATTGGTTCTTACTCTTAATTGTTCCGGCACAAGATTTTCAACTGGAATATCAGAAAGCTCTAGCTTCAAGCCAGATTCCCTTGCAAGAATTATCACCTGCAGAACCACGGGAATTTAAAGCTAAATGATCAAAAACTGATTAAATCAAGCATTAAAAACTATCATCAACCAGAAGAAAATGGTCGTTATGGTAATGTTGCAGTTAGTTCTCATGAAATCATGTAATCTGCATATTTTAATAATATTTAGTTTGAATCAACTTGTGTATTTTAAATCTGTCATGGTTTTTAGTATCTTAGTTTTTAAGCTTGAAATAAAATACAGGTTTATACATGTAAATCAAAATTGAAACCATGATCATTCATAAATTTGAGGCCCAATGTTTTGTGAATCAAAAACGATTTTGGTTCATTCAAAATGTGAGGAAAAAAATGATGCAGATACGTTAAATATTGCATATTGCACCTTTCTCGCAACATCAGTTCCAGACAGATCATCCCTTGGATCTGGTTCAGTATAACCTGCTTCCTTTGCTTCAGCAACTACCTCACTAAAAACACGTCCATCTTTGAAGTTATTAAAGATGTAACTCAAAGTCCCACTGCAAATTCAGATACAATAATATCTTCAGTTTGAAAGCATAAGATCAAATGAACAGAATTTAGAGATAACGATAATCCTTAAATAGATAAATTTAATTTATTTTTTCCTTCAAAGAGGGAAAAGTGTGGATGGACAGTTCGAGTGGAGGTAGAAAAATAGGTTTGAAGCGAACCTGAAGATGCCTTCAAT